GGGCTTGGAGCCAACCAATCAGGAGTCAAAACAATCAGCCACTTTCAAAAGAACCAATGGACTAAGGGGAGGGGGGGATGGTGTGCCCAACGTGTCGTGTGGAACCTGCGTGTCGTGTGCCACCGGTGTGTCGTGTGCAAAAGAAAGTATAAAAGCTTCACTTTTACCCCAGGGCGGGGTCCTGGTTCATAGGGAGGCCACTGCCTTGGTGCTCTGGGACTTGGACCCTAGCTTGAGCTAGCCAATAAACTCCTTTGCCATTTGCAACCTCGGTGACTCTGCCTCTCTGTTCCTGGGGCCGAGGGGAACCGGTTCTAACATTTTGGGGGCTCGTCCGGGATCCCGAAACCCCTGGAACGGAATTCAGACCCGAGGAGGAGTTGGATCTCTGAAAATCCGTGCGGTGCAGGTGACTGGGCCCTGGGAAGTGACCGGCAGAAGGCCTAGGCGGACGCGCTGGTGGGTCGCTGGTCGGGAGCGGAGGGAGACGTCCCTCACCCTCTCGGTAGGTTTCCGGTGCGGACCTGACAGGGTCGGTCTGTTAGAGAGGGAAACCAAGTTAGCTGCGGGCCGATCGGGTCGGTCCGTATAGACCCAGAAAAAGAAAGCCGGATGGGATCCGGTGAGTCTGCAGAAAGCCGGATGGGATCTGGTGAGCCTGCTAAAGAGAGCAAGGGTCAACGACGAAAGAAACACCCCTGCTGCCCCTATTGTCAGACGAAATATCAATGACAGGCACAGTCGAGGGGGCCCGTTCGGGCTAAAATTAGGGGTTTGTGAAACATTCTGTCGTCTTTGTTCCATGTTTTTGTCTCTGCTTTCTGTTTGTCGCTCGCATTGTCGCTTTCCGTCAGCGTCGCTTTTCGTCAGTGTCGCTCTTTGTCAGTATTCTAATTTTTTTTACATTTCCAGGAATGGGACAGATTCAGATGACACCTCTGTCTATTCTCAAAGCTCATTTTAAAGAAGTCAAAGATCTGATTAACCTCTTAGATTCTGTTTTGTTCACTCACCAGCCCACCTGGGATGATTGTCAGTAACTACTAAAAGTTCTTTTCACCACCGAGGAAAGGGAAAAAATACAGGGGGAAGCACGGAAGCTGGTTCCAGGAGATGACGGCAGACCCACGGCTAATCCAGGAATCATAGACCGAGCATTTCCACTCGAACGACCCCCCCTGGGACTACAACGAGGCTGAAGGTAGGGAGCGTCTCCGGGTCTACCGCCAGACTCCAATGGCCGGTCTCCGAGCGGCAGCGCAGAAGCCGACGAATTTGGCTAAGGTAGGAGATATTCGCCAAGGGCCGAATGAGAGCCCGGCGGCCTATTTAGAAAGAATAATAGAGGCCTTTAGGCAATATATGCCTATGGATCCCACTGCGGATGAGAGCAAGGCGGCAGTAATGATGGCCTTTGTAAACCAGGCAGCCCCCGATATAAGGAGAAAAGTACAGAAGATAGACAGATTATGTAAAAAGACACTGCAGGATCTATTAGAGGTAGCTGAGAAGGTCTACAACAACAGGAAGGGGCCACCCCCGTAGGGACAGGCTAGAGAAGGATCAGTGTGAAAATTGCATGGGGGCCCCAGCGAAATTGGGCATTGGGCTAGAGACTGCCCAAAGAGAAAGGGGGGGGCCAGGGAGGAGAGCATCGCCTAAGAGAGCCTTACTAGCAGATAGTGAATAGGGAAGACGGGGTTTGGATCCGCCCAGTCAGTTTCCTGATAGACACAGGGGCAGAACATTCAGTAATTACTGAGACTACTAAAAAAATTGTCCAACAAGACTAGGTGGATGCAGGGGGCAACTGGAACCAAGCCCTACCAATGAACTACCCGGCCACGCTTCTGCCAGACCCCAAGCCGGCAACGCCTGCCTTGAGATCCTGGCCGAGACCCAGATGGCCCGGAGGGACCTGCAGGACCGCCCGCTTGCAAACAGCGACCTGACCTGGTTCACAGACGGGAGCAGCTTCATCCAGGATGGACACAGGTACGCAGGGGCGGCCATAGTAGATGAACAAGGCAAGCTTATCTGGGCTACACGCCTCCCACAGGGGACCTCTGCCCAAAAGGCTGAACTGGTTGCACTGACGGAAGCCCTTCGCTGGGCCCAAGGAAAGAGGTTGACGGTGTATACCGACAGCCGCTATGCCTTCGGGACAGTGCACATACACGGAGCCCTCTATAAGGAAAGGGGCTTCATCACGGCAGAGGGCAAAGAAATCAAGCATAAGCCTGAAATACTTCAACTGCTAGAAGCCATACTGTTACCAAAGGCAGTGGCTGTAGTCCACACTCTGGGACACCAGAGGGGGGACTCCCTAAAAGCTCGAGGCAATCGGGCTGCAGACGCCGAGGCCAAGAGGGCCGTGGAAGGACCTACACTGACAGATGTCCTACACTTGAGCTTGCCGCCCCTGGGGATGGGAGAGATACCCCCTCGACCGGACTATTCCAGTACGGACATAAACTGGGCCAGAGAAAAGCTGCAGGCAACACGGTGAGGAAAGCTGGTTCCAAGACAAAGAGCATCGCCTAGTGGTTCCCGAAGCTTTGGGGAACCACCTATTAGGACACTTACACTAGACAACACATCTTGGCAAAAAGAAGATGTTGCAGCTACTGGACACTGCCCAACTCAGATTCAGATCCCAAGGAAGGGCAGCGGAAAGCATTGTCAAAAACTGTCGTGTCTGCCAGGTTATGCAGCCGGGGAGGATCAGAGGGACCCATACAGGTACCAGGGAATGGGGGAGGCAACCGGAATTATTTTGGGAAATAGATTTTACGGAGGTAAGACCAGGAAAGTATAGGTACAAGTACTTGTTAGTCATGGTAGATACCTTCTCAGGGTGAGTGGAGGCTTTTCCTACTAGAGGAAAAACTGCTTCAATAGTGGCAAAAAAAATATCAGAAGAAATAGTTCCCAGGTACGGGCTGCCAGAGAGCATAGGGCCTGACAATGGGCCAGCCTTCACAAGCCAAATTAGCCAAGGATTAGCCCGGGCTCTGGGGGCAGATTAAAAATTACATCGTGCATATAATCCCCAGAGCTCAGGGCAGGTAAAAAGAATAAACAGAACCTTAAAAGAGACTTTGACTAAATTGGTCCTGGAGACTGGCGGAGACTGGGTGACCCTCCTTCCCTTCGCCCTGTTCCGAGCCCGGAACACCCCCTACCATTTAGGCCTAACCCCCCCTTGAGATAGTATATGGTGCTCCTCCACCTAGGGACCTTTTCAGATTATTCTTATCACCCCCACTGCCCTAAGGTTGACGGAGTGGCGGCCTGGGTACTCCACTCTCACGTAAGACCTGCCAACAAGTACGAGCAAGAGTGCTCGTAGGAACAAGAAAAAGGGGGGAATGAGAGACAGGAATTGATAGTAGGAGAACGTACTTTGTTTTGTGTGGAACAAATTGTCTGAGATTAAAAAAATGTGTTCTCGTTGATTCTAACTGATGCCATTTGCTTCTGTAACCATGCTCGCTTTTAGTTGTTTGTTAAATATAGGAGTAAGAGCAGGAGTGACTCCATGACAAGCTGAATTTCCTGGAATAGGCCTAAGTTTCAGTTTCCCCAAAACCGAAACGCGGATCACAACTGGCGCCGGCGCGAAAATTGAAAATCCCGGGGCTTTGAGCCAACCAATCAGGAGTCAAAACAATCAGCCACTTTCAAAAGAACCAATGGACTAAAGGAAGAGGGGGGATGGTGTGCCCAACGTGTCGTGTGGAACCTGCGTGTCATGTGCCACCGGTGTGTCGTATGCAAAAGAAAGTATAAAAGCTTCACTTTTACCCCAGGGCGGGGTCCTGGTTCATAGGGAGGCCACTGCGTTGGTGCTCTGGGACTTGGACCCTAGCTCGAGCTAGCCAATAAACTCCTTTGCCATTTGCAGCCTCGGTGACTCTGCCTCTCTGTTCCTGGGGCCGAGGGGAACCGGTTCTAACACTCCCCATGCCCACCT